TTTGAGTTACCATAGATTTTGCAGTTTTTAGCCACAAAGACGGGACGTTGAAGCGAATCAGGCAGCAAATCCTAGTTTTTGAGCATTTGGAACTATCATGGATTGTACTAATAACACACCACCAGATTCTCCTACTTCTCAGCATTAACAAAAATTACACCAAAGAACCTGGGATGGATTTTAATTATAAATTATTGTTTTATTTATTTTCTTTTGAGGACTGGATGGGACTCCCTGTGGAGCCTGTATAACTGAGATGTGTAATTTATCTGAAGGTCAGTGAGGAGCAGATGTGCAGCACTGGCTCTCTCCTGCCGAGCAGCTGAATCCCTCCTTTCGCTGCTCTTCCTGGCCCAGGAGCAAGAGATTGGAAGTGCAGACAAAACCTGGGTCCTCCCACAAGGCAGTGCAGAGCACTACCACTAAGCCACTGGGCTGGCCCTGATCAATTATTTTAAGCCTTATTTATTTCAAAATCGTCTCTCTCTCTCTCTCTCTATTGGAGGCATTTCAGTTGATTGCAGTGGAATTTAGGATATAATGGCTACAGTCTAGAATTCAAAACCAGCAAAAGAAACTTTTCTCACTCTGGTTTAAAAGAAAAAAAAAAAAAAAGACGTGTCTGTCTGTCTCTTTCTCTCTCTTTGTGGGTGTTTGAACCCCTCATCTGTTTTTCACTGCCGTTCATTGTACTGGCATAAACAAAACTTTCATATTAAAATAAAAGTATGTGTGGGCAATGGTTGGCTTCTGTGAGAGTGGGAAATAGATTCAACTAGGACCGGTATTTTCATAAACCAGTTGGAGACAACTAATAATTGTTTGTTCTCTTCCTCAGTCCTTCCCTTCCATGAGAAAATTTACTGTTTGTGTAAAAATTCAAGGCGTTGATGTTGGTGACCTTTTTTCAGCATATGTTTCTCAGACCTGGTTTATCCATGCTTGGCTTTTCATTAGACCTTGTACTCCTGAAGGCTGAGCTGCTGACCAGGTTTATAACATGTATGTACCATCACTTTGTTTACCTGAGTCTTTTTAATTTGAATAAAAATAGTTTGCAAAGTGTTTTGGATTAACCAGGTTTGAGTGTCCCGTTAAGACTTCTGTGAGGATTTTATTTCAGTTAATTCTGGATTTTGCTGATCCAGATTTTATCAAGTCCTTGGTTCACGTGTGCTTGTGTGGGGGGTAAAATACCCTTTTTCTGTTGTCCTGTGTATTGTGAGACCTGCCTGTAGGTGATAGAACAGTGATGCTGGAAACTGAGCCATGACAAGCATCAACCTTGAGAAATATGTGATGCCTTAGGAACCAGCTGAGTGGAGACGATGAGATTCAGGTCAGTCCCAGATGCCCCCTTATTAACTGCTTTGAAAATAAACAGCCAGTCTTAATTTCATACTGGAAGCTGACTTGGTTCAGGACTGTCTTCTGTGTAGCTGTTTAGTAGAGTTTATCAGATCAGTAATAATGGAAAAAGCATCTTTTACACAATTAAATTAGAAACAAAGGTAGAAATTCAATTCTACAAACTGCAAGAAAAATTAAGTGATAGGAACCTCTCAAGGTGCCTCTGACATAGAAATTACAAACAAACCAGAACAGACAGCATTATATTTAATTACCATGCATCCATGTCTTTAATCTGGGGGATAAATGGTGCCTGTCACACAGGCTGCTGGCTTCAAGGAACTTCTGCCCTTCCAAAATGTGCTGTTGCACTTGCCCAGAGGAGACTAGTCCTAACCATCCTCCACATTTGCTCAGTCTGAGGTACTAAAGGTCAGCCAAAACCACTAAACTGGAGTTTCAAAAAGGCCAGGCACTCTGAACATGGAGTCAGGAATGGAATCTGATTTGCTGATACTTGGGAAATTTTCTGATTAATGAAATAAACCTCACGTTCCTTTTGCTTACTGCATTTTCCAGCAAGTCTAATTTAACCTTCATACAGAGGAACAAAGTGACAGCTGCTGTAGTGCAGTAGGATCTGGTGATCCCAGATCAAGAGATTCCCAGTCTCTGTCAGGCCTCGGAGGCATGATGTGATCAGTCCTTCCTGTGCCAAAAGGGATCAGAAATCCAGGGAAGGAGCCTGGCCATGCAGATTAACATCTGTTAAAGGAGGCAGAAGGAAAGATGGGAAGAGGAATGGAGGAGAAAGCCCAGAATTGCACAGCAACACGTGTAAGCAGGGAGGCTCAGCTCAGGCTCAGCTGAGCGCAGCGACAGCCTGGGACACAAACGGGGAAGGATGGTCAGTCCATGGAGTCTGAGCCACTGCCTCTACAGGCGATGTCCAAACTCGGCTTCCACTGGATGGTTTTTGGCAGGACTATAATTAATCCTCATCCTTGACGGGAAGCATCAACATGCAATACTGATTTTGGGAAGTTCCTCGGGAGCAGTCAGCCCATCCTGCCTCTTGGAGATTTTTGCCCCTTTCTCAGGAGCTGGGAGTGGCCATGGCCAGAGTGCGGGGTGCAGATCTGGATCTGTGTATTAAGTCCAAAGTCAAAACTTGCCTCCACTGAAGACAGGAGAAATTTTGCTCCAAGGAAGAAATCACCAGTACATCAGATGACTATTTTTGTCCTTTTTGTACTCTTGAAAAGCTTGAACAGAACTGCCACCCCCTGTGCCGGGGAGGATTGCAGGCTGGGCACACCAACGCTGCCTTTACCATAACTTCTTTTAGTTCTTCCCTGGCTCACCACGGGTTTTTCAGCAGACAGCAACATCCTTGTGTGCACAGCCACAGGGAAACAAACGATCAACAGATCCATTCTTTCCACAGAATCGTTCTGGACTGGCAGTGAAATTGTCCCCTCTCCAGTGCCAGAGTGGTGAGCAGCACTGCTTGTACACGGGTATCGCGGTTTGTTTGCAGATGACTGTTTACTGAGTTGAAGTTTTCCATGCTTGGTACCCATCTTGCCCCAGCTCCCACAGTCTGGAAAGCTTTCAGCGGGAATGCTTTGCTGAATCTCAGAAGTTCCTGCTGTGGCTGCTGCAAAGCTGTTGGTGGATGCCAAGCTGTGCTCTGGGCTAACCCAGCTGAACTCCCAGCAGAAGGAGCTGCTGAACTCCCAGCAGAAGGAAGGACGTGCTCAACCCCAGAGCTGGCAGGGGCTCAGCAGGACTGGAAGTGTGTTCCTGGCTCGCTCCTGCAGCACGGAGCAGCCTCATGGTGTTCCCAGCGCTGGCCAAAGGAGAGCTCTTGCTTCCTCCGCTTTGCCTTTGCCACAGCAGATGGAGGATGGGAAGGAAACAGGGATATGGGAGGCAGAGATTGCTGGGGAAGGCAAAGAGCACAGAACTAGGAGTCAGCAGGGATAAAACTGCAAAACCAAGTGAAGACTGTGGTTGTTGACAATTGGGTGTAGCTTAAAATCAATACTAAATCCCTGAGAGTGCTCAGTTCCGGAATGGGCTGAAACTCTGGAATGGGACCTTGTAGCTATTCTTATTTCCAGCGTTAGTGAGAGACTGGCAAAATGCAGGAATGCCAAAGGGTCAGCAACAGCAAACATTGTGGAATGGAAAATACAGCTCAGATTTCTAAATGTCAAGCTGCATATTCTGTCACAACAGATCTGTGCTGCCTGAAATGGTGCAATGCCAACTTGCAGAAGGATTTTATTCCTGCAGTGGTCACAAAAATCAGTGGCACAGAAGCCCCTGATGCCAGACTCCTTGTGAGTGACTGTAGCCTGGCTCTCTTTGTGTTTCCCTGGCTGGAGACACATGAGAGATCTTCCAGACATGCCTGGAGCTCTCAGCTGCAACTGGGAACAGTCACTGCAAAACAAGCAAAAGGCCTGAAGTGAAAAGCTTGGCTCGCTGGTGTCTGTGGAATGCTCTGCTGCTGTTACAGGAGTGCCTTCAGGGACACCTCGGGAAGTTTTCACACCAGGCTCCCAAGTCCTGAGAAGTAACTGGGGCACAGGGCTCTTCCTTGAAAAAAACCCAGATATTGAAAAACTTGTTTGTTCTATGGAAACCAAGCACAAGAGAGTTCCAAAAAGCTCAAGAATTAAAAGCAGATGGAGCTGAAGCTCAGCAGTTTTCAAAATCTGGCTTTTTATTTATGCTTTAATGTACTGCTAGAGTCAGGAGTGACTTCTGTGTGATGATCTGTGACTGCAAAAAGCAGCTTGTGCACGAGTTTTTGAACTTGGGCTCTACCTTGGAACCAAAGGCAGAGTTCTTATTACTTCTGAAATAGAGGCTTTCCTCGAGTGCTTCACTTGCTGCCCGGTCAAAACACACAGAGCACAGTGGTTCGAGTACCTGCACCACAACATGATCAGAGCAGCCTCCTCAGTGCCTGAAGACTTTCAGAGGCTGTCAGGAGGTAGCACAGGAGCACAGATAAGGGAATGAACTCCCTCGGGTTTGTATCCTTAATAACCGGCTTCTTTGTGGCACCCTCAGCACACACCCATACCCTCAGCAATAGAACAATTAGCAATGTAGGACCTTCAGTGATTACACTGCACCAGTCCCTGATGCACAGTCACCAACAGGCCCCCACACCCTGAGCCCCAGTGTCACTGCAGGACACACAGCCAGCCCTGCTTTCCTGCTCTGGGCACAGGAGCCTGCAGTCAGGACTCGGGTTTGCCAGGACTGCCATTGCTCTGGTACCTGGTACACTTGTCAGGCTTTTCCCCCAGGCTGAGCTCAGGTCGCTGCCAGAGCAGCAACAAAGGGTGTTGCTGCACTTACGGGCAGCAGAGCTTGAACACACGGGTGGCTTTCCAAGCTAAGCAAACACCGAGCAGTGAGTCCATGCTCTTTTCATCCAGTTAAAATTATGCCACACTGGAAAGAAAACAAATCAGATGCCAGAGCAGTTTCTGCCAGTCCAACAGAAACTAACTAAAAATTACTGTTTCCATTCTGCTGAGGGGGATGCAATGGTAACATTTCTTTCCCACCAGTCTTGTCACAAGAAGGGTGTTTCACCAACCAAACAAAAGCATTGGCCAAACTGCTTACTCAGCTTAGTTTATTTGAAAGTACTAAGCAAACATTAAATTAGTGGGGGATGCCCAAATACAATGAAATTTTCACTGTGGATTTAAATACAAAATATTAAAGATATGGAAGAACTGCCAAAGCCATCTGAGAGGATGTTACCCAGACGTGTGGATCACAGTTCATCTTGCAGAGCCAACATCTTCCCCCACCCTCCACGTGGCAGTAACGCTGCTTTGGCACTGATGCAATTAAAGCACTGGGACCTCCCCCTTGTAATGTTCCAGCTAAACTTCACTCTTCTCCATCCTCGCCTCGTACTGCCTCTCGGAGCGCTTCCTACGATAGACATCATCTGCAGAGAGAGAGATTTTGTGTCAGAGTTTTCCCAGTGCAAGATGATACCGAAAATGTGAACGCTGCCATCTCTCTAAACTTTTCAGCCCACATTCCTTTTGCAGACGCTGACAGGAAATTCAGGCCAACACAAATCCTTATTACCCCTTTAAATAGCTCATGTTCTCCATCCGGGCTAAAGTTCTTCCCATCAGTCCTGATTAAATGGTTTTTATAGGAAAGCCAAGTTTCCAGTGCGATACAGTCATTTCTTGTCTACTTTCCCACGAGGGTAATTAAAAATACAAATACCCCAACTAAATGAAGCGAAAGAGAAATTAAATTACAGGCACAAAGTCAATGCCTGAGGGCTGCCAGCCTGGCTCCAGTAGTTTAGCCTTTTTAATATAAACAAAGCACAGGAATATTCCCATCTTCATAGTCTTCCCAATAGTCCTTCTTGCCTCCCCTCTTCCTGATCACCCCTAAATATTCATCACCAAATAAAAGCCCTCACTGACAAATAAAAATGAGGTTATGAGTTTTGTACATTGTCACTTTGCTTGGATTATGAAGCAAAAACGGGGCTAAAGTGCACAATGATAATTACTGTAGAATATATCATTAGGCATAGCAATTTTCTTTTTTTTTTTTTGAGGAAAACAAGGCTCGAGGTGAAATATAACAGCAGCTGCTCCATGGATGTTGTGCTTTAGTTTCTAACCTGACTTAGTTATGCCTTAGAAATGAACAACTAAAAATCCACAACAAGCCCAAGCCTTCAGCAGTGAGCAGGTAAGTAATTTTGATTGCTGTGGGTTTGTCAGCTCTGGAAACTGTACCAAGCTGTTTCTCTGTACAGGAGACTCAACAAGATTCCCCATGAAAATGAGAATATTCCTAGATAATATACAGGTGAGCTGATCCTTTTTCTGAAGTACACAAATATTTCCAGCAATGTTTATTAAGTGGAAGAATGTCACTTTGGAAATAAATGCTTTTAACTTATAGAAACTAAATGCCATTAGCCAAATTCTCGTGAGCCATTTTCATACTTATTTTTTTAATTGTAGAATTCATATTTCTGCTGAGCTCACATGCTTAAATTCTGGCAAATCTCTCTTTCAAGGTAAGAAGATCATAATAGAACTGTAGAATGGTTTGGGTTGGAAGGCACCTTACAGGCCATCTCATTCCACCCCCTGCCATGGGCAGGGATACCTTCCACCAGCCCAGGTTGCTCCAAGCCCCATCCAACCTGGCCTTGGACACTTCCAGGGATGGGGCAGCCACAGCTTCTCTGGGCAACCTGTGCCAGGGCCTCCCCACCCTCACAGGGAAGAATTTCTTCATAATATCCAATTTAAACCTCCCCACTTTCAGCTAAAATCTGATTTATTATCCTAAACCCAGGTTTTCTGTTTGTTTCTGCCCAGAGTGTTCTGCTGGGGAGGCAAAGCCTGGAGTGTCACAGCACTGAGGGGAGCGGTGTCTGCCGTGCTGCTCAGAGTCCTCCGGGTGAGGAGGGGCCGCCAGACCCCGACAGCCCCCGGTTGTCGTGAGGGGACTCACAGAAGGTCTCCTTGCCGATGCGGACGTTGATCATGAACCATTCCATGGCCCCGCCGAGCACGAAGAAGAAGGGTAGGAACCTGTAAACGCCGAAGCGCCGCTTCCCGGGCACCAGCTGCAAGAGGCGCTTCAGCCTCCTGCTGACCAGCATGGCCGGGCGGCACCGGCGCCTTCGCCCTTCGCGTGTAGGGAAGAAAACAGGGGAGGGAGGAGGAGGCGTGTCAGACGCGGAGCGGGACGTGCCCCGGCCACACCGTGTGGGCAGCCGGGCGTGGGGCGGGAGGGCCTGGCCGATCCCCCCCGGCCATGACGGCCCCTCACGGACCCCCTGCCCCCCCCAGCGGCGGGAACGCGCGGCCAATCAGCACCGCCCCCGCGCCGCGCGCGCCCCCACACCGCGCGCCCCTCACCTCCAGCGCGGGGGGCTCCGCACGGAAGGACGCGGCGGGGAGGCCACGTGACCCCTCACGAGCGGCGCGGCGCCTCGCTCGATTGGCCGGGGGCGGGGCCGGGGCGGGGCCTCTCCTGAGGGGATGTGAGGGGTCCCGGGATGGACCCCAGAGGGGATCCCCGTGAGGACACCCGGTGAGGGGACCCGAGATGGACCCCCTGAAGGGATCCCCATGAGGGGACCCGAGATGGACCCCCTGAAGGGATCCCCATGAGGGATTTCCGCCCGCCCCCCTTCCCTGCCGGGTCCCACAGCCCCTCCCTCCGAGCTCCGCCCCGCCCTCCCAGCACCGGCCCCTCTCAGGGCGGGTCCTGCCGCGGCCCGGCCCCTCGCTCCGCCGATTGGCTGCCCGGCGGTGCCGCCGCGGGCCGGGCAGCGGAGCGGATCGGATCGGAGCAGAGCAGAGCAGAACAGAGCAGAGCGTCGCCGGCCGTGCGGGTGGCCCCGAGGCCGCGGCATCCTGCGGGGCCATGGCGGCGCTGGGCTCGGCGGCGCTGCGGAGGGGTGGCGGCGCGGCCCCCCGGCTCCTCGCCGTGGCCGTGTCGTGCCAGAACTGCCGCCACAAAGCCACGGTGGACGGCGGGCACGGGCAGCCCCGCGAGCAGCAGCCGGCGGCCCCCGTCAGAGCCGGCGGCCAGCCCGCCCCGGCCGAGGGCGCCGACACCAAGACCTACCTGTGGGCCAGGTACCACGAGATGAAAAAGCTGGTCTATGGTAAGGGGGCTGCCACGTCCCGCCGGGACCGGCCTTTTCCCGTCTTTCCCTACCCCCTCCCCCTCCTCTTTGCATCTCGGTGCCTTTCCCGGGATGTGCCTGTGGCTGTGCAGCTGCCGGATCAGGAGCTTTCCCGCCGGCGATGCCATCGATCCATCCATCCACACCTCCATCGCCCGCGGCTCGCCGGGATGGTTCTATTTAGCTGAAACCTGGTCTTGATCTTCCTCTCGCCATCCCGGGCTTCCCTCTGTGCACATCCCCCGGCTGGTCTCAGCCTGTCAGGACATGCAGAGTGTGGGGAGTTGTTCACAACTGGCCTCTTTAACGCGGGTATTGCCATGGCAAATGGTCTGAATGAAGGGCTTGTTGCCTTTTTCTCCAGTTTGCCCTTGGTCGGCATACAGGATCGCAGCTGGACTTGGATAAATGGGCAGGGATGCTGACTGAAGGGGTGAGTCCAACTCACCTCTGGCACAAGGGTGAATGTGGACAGGACTGATGCTGCAGCTCCTGGGATATCCCCTGGTCCTGAGCTCAGTTTGTGTTCCAACTGGGACACACCTTTTACTCATGAGTGCCTACGTGTTTCTTCTCCTCTGACCAAGAAGTTACCTGGCTCTGTCGGATACTTTGAGATCTTGCCAAGCGAGGAGAAAACTCAGACCATTTGCCAAATCTGCCTGTGTGTAAAACTGGATTGCGGTCTCTTTGGCAGCAGCAGGAGATCTCCTCTGTATTAAATTCCCCTAAAAACAGCTTTCTTGGCATAAGGGCAGGAAACCTTTTCCTGTTGGTTTCTTGATTCTTGGAATGCTGAAGGTAAGCACTGTAGAGGACTAGGAAGTGTGAGTTCGTGCCTGCTGCTCACTAGCCCTCCGTTAGCCTTTGTTTATCTAAGGCTCGGATAAGGACAGCAGCCAGCCGGAGGCATCTGGAAGAGTTGTCTCCTGGCTCTGAGACTGGCAAGGTCTGTCATTCCTTCCTCCCCCCACCTTCCAGTACATGGGATTTGACATAAAATCTCAAGTCCTTCATGATGCACAAATGTAAAGGAATTGGCCGCTGATCCCTTGGGTGCTCAGCCATTCCAGCTGTTGCAGGACGAGAGCTCCTTTCCCGGTGCGTTGAAGGCAGTAGAGGTGCTGACAGGGGACTGTAGCTTTGTTAATACCCTGCTCCAAGATCGACCTGGGGTTTTAGCCCCAGTGCTTGAAAGAAATTCCAGATGTGTTAATAGTCTGTGCCGTGGTCTCTTGGCAAAGTGCTTGATTTACTATGTGACAGATCATGAACTTTGGGTTCCCATAACTCTGTTGGGACTCAGGAGATACAGTTATTACTTGAGGTGGAGAACTAAGCAGCAGGAGGAAATGCAAAGTGAAGTCGTGTGAAGTAGCTCAAGTGCTACAATGTAGACTCCTTACAAACCTTCAAGTAGCCATTGGATGTGCTAAATAAGAAGGCCCTCGTTGTTTTAAAGAATAGCTCTCCAAACCAAAATGTCAAGGTTGTGTCGTCTTGTCAGGAAGAGACAGAGTTGGTCCAAGCTGGTTTTAATTGTTGCTTTGATGACTGAACAATTGTGCAAAGTGTGGCATCAGCCTGTTCCTTTGTGCTTGATTTCTATCTCGATGTAAAAGAGACTCTCTGTGCTTGGGGTATGGATTTGAAAATATCACCTCTTCTCAGGACTCACCAGCATTGAATCTGGGCAGACTCTGGTGGTGCCACCTTCTCCTTCCCTCTCTGAAACTCCCCTTTGTGAAGTCCTTTACTCTGTGTTGTCAGTTATTGCTGTTGGTTTGGAGAGAGGTCTCTGCCAAGAGAGTTTATGATGTGTTTCCAAAGCAGCCCTTGCTCAGGACCAGATTTATAGACACTGTTGTATTTTTGCTGAGGGGATTGCAATGATAAACGCTGACGGAGTTGGACAGGGCTGGATGTGCAGGATGAGCTGTGCAGGAAAGCTCAGTGCTGGGGCAGGTTTGGTGGCCAGAGCACAGGCATGAAAAGTTCTCAACTTTGTACAAACATGTCTGTGCTCTGTCAGGCTCCAGGGGGGTGATGGAAATGATAGAACAACATTGCTACACAAAAAGTGTCACTGAGGTAAAATCTCCCCTGAGCACTGGCTCAGGAGAAGCCAGTTCTGTTCATCACCCCTCTACCTTTGCCACAACGACTCTTAGGGCCAGATTTTGTTACCTGCAAAAATTTGAGGCTACTATTTCCATTTAATGTGCTTTTGTTTTTTTTTTCCTTTTTTTTTCTGGCAAAAGGAAAAGTACAATCTCATCACAGGGGTTGGTGTTGAGCAAGACTCGCTGTTTTCTGATCTGATAAGTGTTAGGGAAGGCCAATAAGCTCTCACTAAGCTTTGAAGTTTTGCAGTCTAGGAAACATCCAATCCTGAAACTCAATGGCATTGCCAAACCAGTAAGGATTTAGCTGAAAGCAAGTGTGTTTGGTTTTTTTAGGTCTTTTAAACCTGTAAACATGGCTACAATACCTCAGCTTTCCTAAAGAACCTTTACAATAACTGCAGACTTACTGCATGACAAGCTTGGGCACAGTTGAATGTGAGAGCAGCCAGAACTGGAAAAGTGACTAGCTGCTAACTTCCTAATTCTGCTCTCTTAAGTGTAACTGTTTTTTCTTGCAAAGAACTATTACAACATTTGTCTAATGCCTTTGTGCATTTTTAAGATGACATTTTGTAACGAAATGGTATTTTTTAATATTGCCTTTAGTTTGTGTAGATTTCATTGGCGAGAAATCCCAAAATATTTAGTTATAATGGCATAAATTCAAGACTGTGCCCAAAATTTTCAGCACTCTTTTAATATGCTTCCTCTGTCATTTAAGGTTCTTTAAGTAATATTTTCCTCTTCCTATCCTATCGGTAGAAGTAGCTACTTGGGCTGGTTGGAGAGCTTTGCAGGAAATGGCACAAACAACACTTCAAAGGGATAAAGAGGTTCTTGGAAAGGAGGAGAACTGGCAGTTCGTCTTTAGAAAGCAAGTCAGTGTGAACAAGGGAAACTTTTTAATTCATTGAGGGTATGGAGGATGGTGGCCATCTGCTTTCAGTATCCTTTTATTGCTTGTCTTACAAAGAAATTAGTGCAGATTTCTGCCTGTTGGACCTGTGTGAGTACAAAGGGTGTGAGAAATTGGTGTGAGTTGCCTTATTTATGAATTATTCCTCACTAACATGCTGGGTCTGAAGCTGAGAGAAAAGGAGCATTTCCCACAGGATGCTTTGGGTACCCTGGGAGCTCAGAAAAGCAGGAGACGTGCCTTGCACCTCCTGCCCAGAGCGTTTGTCACATCGGAAGGGGCCATATGGTGTCTGTAGTCGTTGCTCACAACTAATTACCTGCTTTTGTTTCCATCTCTGCTCTCACGTTGGGGCTCGAGTGTTACTGCTTTCGAACAATGTGGGCTATTGCCTGGGAAGAGGCACTTGTGCTCTGGTGCAGACAGTGGATTTAAGCAGCCGTTCAGGTTCTCACAGTGGTAAAATGAAGGGGATGTTTCATGTTTACCTTGCATTTACACCCGGGTGTAAAAGATGCACGAGATCACACAGGCGCTCCTGTGGTCCGCCTTGGTTGCAGAGTTTCATCGTGTGCCCTGGACATGCAGACACTTCCCTTCAAACCGTCAGAGCTGCAAACCAGAGCAAATTGTGCAAGTGAGCAGATTCCTGGGGCTGCATCTGTTGCAGGAGCTGCTTTCCCCCACTGCCCTCAGATGTGCTCCCGCCGGTTCCCTCTTCAGTCACACTTCCTGGGTGAAGTGCTGAGTAGACAGTGACTAACTGTGATGTCTGCCTTTCCAGCTAGGACCCAGATGGAAAGAGTAGTTGGGATTATCATTCTTTTTTAATGTCCAAAAGTGGTTTTCATTTTTGTCTTGTGTGTTGTTTTTTTTTTTTTTCTTGCTGTAATTTCTCATATGTGTCCAGTGATCTGTTATGGTGCCTTGGCAGAGGAAAAGCAGAAGCAGTCGTTCTTGGAAAACGGTATCTTCATGAGCTTCTGGAGGGTGTCTGTTTGTTTTGATTTGACAATTGCCAGGAAATCTGAGACAAAGATCCCTGGCAGATTACGTGCGGAATGTCAGCAGAGCAGCAGCGCCCAAGTCTGCAGCCCAGGACTTGATTAAGCACTCGGGATCCGTAACCACACAGGTGGTTATCTTGAAAAATAAAAAACAACAACAAACAAACAAACAAAACACCACGGAAAACCAAAGCAAACCCACACTTAAACCAAGCTTCTTTAAACCTGGCTTAGGAAACCCCTGGCAAGTTTGGGCTTTTGT